CTATATCTTTTGATAGCCGGGCACCGTCAGCTTTCTTCACCACATTTGCTTATTCACCTTCAGCCCATTTTTAAACTGGATTATTAGACTTCTTACTAGAGTTGCAAGGTTTCTTCATCTATCATAGACACAAGTGCCTTAGAAGGTAATTTATAAAAGTTTTCTCCCATTCTGTGGAATGTGTTTTTAGTTCCTCAATCAAGTCCTTTGAAACATGGAAGGTTTTGATCTTAATAAAATCTGATTAATCTATATTTTAATCCTTGTGTTTTTTGTGTATATGTCATATCTAAGAAGCCAAGGTTATAGATTTACATTTGCTTCTAAGGTTTTTATAGTCTATACTCTTACATTTTTATCTTTGATTCATCTTGTGTTAGATTTTATATATGGTGTGAGGTGTAGGGATTTCTTTCTTTGTTTTTTGCATTTGGATATCATTGCCCTTTCATTGAAAAAACTAGTTTTTCGTCTATTGAATTGTCATGGCACCCTTGTGGAGAATCACTTGACTGTAAATGATTGTTTACTCCTAGACTTCAATTCTATCCTACCGATCTATATTCTGTTCTTTTGCCAGCGTCCCACACTGTCTTGACCATCTCATACCTTTGTAGTGAATTCTGAGATCAGGAATTGTAAGGCCAGCCTTTTCTTTTTCAAGAACAGCTATTTTGAGTCCCTTGAATGTCCATATCAATTTTAGAATCCATTTGTTCATTTTTGCAAAGATGCCCCTAGGAAATTTGACTAAGATTTGGGAAGTTTTGCCATCTTAATTAACAATAAGGAGTCTTTTGATCCATAAACCTATGGGATATCTTCCCATCTACTTCAGTCATCTTTAATTTCTTTCAATAACACTTTGTTGATTTCAGAGTATAAGTTATGTTCCTCTTTTATTAAATGTATCCCTAAGTATCTTATTGTTTGGGGTGCTTTTGTAAATGGAATTATGTTAATTTTATATTCAGACTGTTAGGAGTGTGTAGAACTAGAATTGACTTTGTGACGTTGGTCTTGTATCCTGCAACCATGATGAACCATTTAGTCCTAAGACGTTTTGGGGTTTTTTTAAAAATCATTTTATCAGTTGGATCATGGTAACTGAAAATAGTTTCTCCTTCCTTTCCAATCGTGAATGTCTTGTATTCCTTTTTCTTGCCTTGATAAGAACCTGCTGTAACAATACTGAAAAGAAATGGGATGAATTACTTGTGCCTAGACCTATGTGTGCTGTTACCTGTGAGTGTTTTGTGGATGTTCTTTACTGAGTTGAGGAAGTTCCTTTTGGCTCCTTGTCCCCGGAGTGTTGTGTTGAGAAGAGGTGTTAGATTTTGCCCAGGATTTTTCTGCGTCTTTTGAGATGATACGGGCAGTGTTTTTGTTGTTTCATAACCATTGAAAAATGGGGAGCCTTTTAGCCAAGATGTGCGATCCACCAAGTGACACAGAGGCCTTGGGTTCTGACTCTGCTCCAGCTGCCTGCACAGGTCATCTCTCTTCCTCCAGATCAAAGCTTCTTCAATTGTGGGTCATGGTCCCATACAGGGTCATGTACCTGTGTGTGCGTTCGCGAACAGTTTGGCAACAGTAAAAAGTTTCTGAATGTACAATGGATTCAAAACATGAATTCGAAATCAGACACATAATGAAAGCGAGTTACCTCTGGCAGGGCTTGCTGTTGTTGTAAACGTCTCAGGTGAAAGGGCATGATGCAGATGGAAAGCGCTAAAGAAGCCCTTGCTCTAGACCAGATTCCCCAGAGAAGCTGCAAGTTGAGCTGCTAACTACAAACTACAAGATCTGAGGTTCAAAACCACAAGCATACTCCACGGGGAAAAGACGAGGCTTTTTACACCCATTCGAGTTAGTCTTTGAAACCTACAGGGCAGCTCTGCCCTGTCCTATGGGACGCTATGAGTCAGTATCAGCTGGGTAGCAGTGAGCTTGACACTTTATACTGGACTATGGACTGTAGTTCAAACGTTTTCATCGTCAAGGGAGCGCTGAGCCAGTCATGTCTGTCTGTCTGTCTGTCTCTTTCCTGAAAAGGAGACGGTGGGCCTATTCTCTTTGGGAACCTGTGCTCTGGGCTGTTGCCTACTGAGTGGAGGGATGTTTTTCCAGCGCTAGCTGTGTCGGTTCCCCTAGCCTGCTTCATGCTTGTAGTCAGGTCCATGGTCTGTCATAGTCTATCTGAAGCCTTTCTCAAGGCTTGATGCATTATATTGCCCTAGTTACATCTGGGCTTTTACATTTCTTTTGTGTAGTGAAAGTAAGCTTTTATGACTGCAAGTAAAGTGTGTGATAGTACGTTCACACAGACAAGAGTGACACCTCTCTGGATGCCTGGAAAGAACACACACAACAACTTACACACATTTGTTTTGGGCTCCTCCATTTCAATCCCTTGAGTGTTCCTGGCTTATTCTCCCCATGTCTCCTGATTCCATTCTTTCTTTCCTAGCCTCTGTCCTTGAGTAATCACTGCCCCTTTGACCGTCAGTGGTTGATTATACTAACAGGATTGCAGGAAGGCTTATTAACAACCTGCGATATGCAGATGACACAATCGTGCCTGCTAAAAGTGAGGAGGAATTGAAGCACTTGCTGATGCAGACCAAGAATTGCAGCCTTCGGTATGGGGTACAACACAATGCAAAGTAAACCAAAATCCTCACACCTGGACCAGAAGGTAACATTCGGATAAATGCAGAAACGATTCACAAGGTCAAGGGTTTCATCTTGCACACTCAGTGTTCTTGGAAGAAGCAGTCAAGAGATCGAACGATGCATTATTTGGGGGTAAATCTGCTGCACAAGACCTCACTAGAGTTGAGAAGCAAGGATGTTACTTTGAGGACTAAGGTACATCTGACCCAGACCTTGGTATTTTCATTTGCCTCCTATACATTTAAAGTTGGACATTGAATAAGGAAGACCGAAGAAGAATCAATGCATTAAGATGGTGCTGCTGACAAAGAACATCGGAAAGTACCATGGACTGCCAAAGAGCAAACAGCTCTGTCTCGGAGGAAGTACAGCCAGAATGCTCCTTAGAGGTGAGGACGGTGAGACCTTGTCTCATGTACTTTGGACATGTCAGGAGATACAGCCCTGGAGAAAGATATCATTGCTAAAGGAGAGGGGCAGAGACACAGAGGCAGGTCCTGGACAGTACGGATTGACACAGTGGCTGCAACAGGGGCTCAAGCACAGGAACCACAGTGAGGCTGACACAGGACCGGCACAGTTTCGTTCTCGTCCATCAGGTCGCTGTGAGTTGGAACAGCCTCAGTGGTCCCTAACAGCAGCAGCAGCAGCAGCACTCTAACACAGGGGCAGGTTTAGTTACAGACTTCTGACGGTGTCTCACCAGACTGCTCCACCAGGACGCCGCCGTCTCCTTTACGGACTTCTGCTTCACATTTCCTCCTCCTCTCAGGACCACTGGCTGGCATTCTTTTCGGAACCGTTGGTGGGATCGAGGCACCGTTTTGTTTTTCTCCTCAGTCTTGTGGAGACTGATGTTTGTAGTTCATTAGTGGTACGTTGGCCTGAATGCTTCTGTGGGTCTTCCTATTTTCACCACTCCGTCTTTCCTCCCAACAGGGAGAAAGCAATGTGACTTTTCATGAGCTTTTAAGATACCAGTTGCTGCTCACCAAATTAGAATGTAGACCTGGCTTTGTGGACTCCCTTATGCCAGTTGACCTTGGCGTCCCCCGAGACCATAGCCCCTAGGACCAGTGCTCATTCCCTCGGGATGTCTGGTTATATGTCTGAAAACTTCTCCTTACTCTGCCCCCTGTCTACTCCACCACCTTCGTGGGCATGTTTGTGGCAAAGGTAACACCCACGGACAGATGTCCTCAGTCAGACCTCATATGTATGTTCAGGAGTTTAGTCCCAGTCTTGCATCCGCACTGAAGCTTTCTGGTTTGAAGTGGTTTGGGTGATGGTTAGTTTTACTTGGGAAGTACCTAGAGAACTGGCCATTTGTGTTGGCGGACGTCCCATCCAGAAGCCCTGCTCAGAATGAGGGTGACAGGATAGTCCCCTGTGTTCAAGCCACAAGGGACCTCTTAAAAGGGCTGCCCTCTGCTCCCAGCATGTGGCCTGCCTCCCGCACAGCTTCTCCAGGGACTGGGAAATGCTGGTCACTGGAACTTGATACGGTGACAGAAAATGTTTCAGTCTGTGCCCCTCAGGATGGCAGCCACCACTCAGTGTCCCCACTGAGTTCTTTAAGTGAGGCTGAGGAGCTGATGTTCATTGGCTTTTCTTGAAGTACATGTGACCTTTCACCGAGCTGGCCACGAGTGGCTGCTGACTAGGCAGTGCCGGCCAGGAGCCTACTGGATCTCGCCCCCACAGCAGAGGAGGTGCGGGGCTGCCATGTTGCTCATGTGGTGGAGCCTGCCTGGGCTGACTGCCCAGGTGAGCGGGTGCTAGCTCTGCCTGACAAAAGTCGTGGTCACCACTGGTTCCAGATGCTGCCTGAGGCGGTGGACAGGCGGACGGGTGAGGGGCTCTGTCACCCGCCACTCGCCACACTTGGCTCCAACCTTTGGGACAGGGTGGTTTCCAGGCTGCCAGTGCCCTGAGCGATTCTTGGCTTTTCTGACAACCCGAGTCCAGGTGACTCGGGCCTACCCTGCTCTGTGGCAGGTGCTTGTCCCCAGTCTGCCTCAAGGATCCTTCTGGGCATGGTGTCTGTGCTCCCAGCAAACGGGTCCTTGGTGGCCTGCCTGTGGAGCACTGAAAGAAGAGTCCCTGGGCTGCACTCAGGGCAAGCAAGCACTTCACAGCCCAGGCTTTTAAAGAGCGGGTGGAGTCTCGGGAAATACTTTGATGGACAGATGTCGCCATGGACACCGAAGCTTTGTTTCAGGGGCATTTGGCTCCTATGGTTCTGACATCGGGGTGACTGTTTCTTTGGGGTTGCTGGTTTCATCACATCACAGGCTGGGCAGGGTGGCCCTGCACTCAGGAGCTGTGTGTGTAATGCTGTGAGCCACGGCCTTGGGGACACGGGAAGTGAGAGCTGGGGCAGCTCGTTCATAATCCTGGGGAGTTTTGAATACACACACTTCTTCAACTGCCCTGGGAGCTGGGACACTGAGCCCTTCCTGGTGTCCGTCCAGGCCACTGGCTAGGACTCAGAGTGGCTTCCATGTGACAAAAGGTCTTTTCCCCCCACTTACTGCTATTCCACTCATCATCTGTGAGGAACAGCCATCAGAGACCCAAGGGGCAGCATTGCCCCCAAACAAAGCTCACGGTCAGATGTGGGGAAGTGCCGGGACGTTGAGGGGATTGCGCTGTCGTGTCAGGAAACAAAGCGTGTCTGCGCTGTTGAATGGAAAACTGGCTCCCCTTGTAAACTGTCTCCCAAAGCACTGTAAACTGCCCACCGAAAAGTCACATTGTAAACATCACAAAGGTAAGTCCCTGGGCCACAGCCCCCTCTCACCCACACGGGCTGTGACCTTGTCCATGTGAGGTGCTGACCACCAGTGGCCTTCGACATGAGGAGAGTCATTTCTTTAAGGATTAGTCCCACCCTCCTGGTGTTCTCTGTGGATGGTGGGGCTGAGCTATGGGGCAAAGGTGGTCTCAGCTGGCCTCCCGGCCCCCTCTCTGCCTCTGACGCGGAGCCCTCTGCACAGAGAGTCAGGCTTCGGGGCGGAAGTGTGTGTATGAGGAGGCTTTGGTTCTGGGCCTCGGCATGGGCTCAGTCTAGAACTGTTTTTAGAAAAAACATTCAGTAGAGATTGGGTCTGGTTATTAAGATAATAGGAGTTCATTGTGGACATTCAGAAAAAACAAGAGTGAAGATCACCTGTCCTCCTGCTGCCACAGATTGAGAGTGCCGCTGTGCTGTGGTGGCTTGTCTGTCGGCCTTGTTTCTGAAGAAAAACGTAGTAGTGCTGTCAGGGCTGTGCATCGCATCCAGCTTTTGCCGTAGTCTTGTGCACAAGCATCTCCCCGTGCGGTTGGTTCAGTGCTCGCAAGCTTCCATGTCTGCGTGGCTGTGGAGACACAGGCTCCCTGGTGGCACAGCCGTTACTCACTGGGCTGCTAAACCCAAGATCAGCAGTTCGAAACCACCAGCCCGCTCCGCAGGAGAAAGATGAGACTTCCTGCTCTCAAAGAGTTGCCATCTTAGAAGCCCAAGGGGCCAGTTCTACCCTGCCCTATAAGGTCACGTGAGCCGACATGTGCTCGATGGCAGTGGGTTTGATTTGGGGTTTGGTGTAACCTCATCGTGTTGAGATGCTACTGTTTGTTTGGGGTGTCTCTGGTATTCTGTCAAATCACCGAGTCAGCCCTGTCTGTGGGCCCAGGGGGCCAGCCCCTCTGGTGCCCACAGCCTCCCTCTGACCAGCCCCTCTGTCTTGCAGATTGTTTGCTACATGAAGACAACTTCTCGCTGAGGTGCCCCAAGCACAAGGTGAGTTCACAGCCCCCGAGAGACAGTGTCCCCAAAACCTGGAGACCAGACTTTGGAGAACCAGTGTCTGCCCCCTGGCTAGGCTTTGGGCTTTCACCCCTGCTGATGGTGGCAGTGTGGAGAAGCCAGTGCCCAGAGGTGCTGGTGGCTAATGAAGGAGTGTTTAGTGCAGGCTGTTACGGACACGTGATGAAACTGCCGGTCTCCGTGTGGCATGAGCAGAGTCCCTGTGCATGCTGTGCTTGCCAGACTGGCTCTAGGCATCATACATGAGCAGAAGGCAGCGCCTTCCCAGAGTGGCTGTGGGGGAATGCACAGTCTCCCCAAGGCTTTAATGAGCTTAGTGGCCCCTCTTCAGGCGTGCTGCTAAGGGATGGGCTCCTGTAGGACCAGAGAGAGACACCTGTGCCAGGAGGGAGGGGGAGGAGCAATGGCATTCTTGCTGTGGCCAGGCTGCTGCCTCTGGCTGAAGTCACACTGACCCCTGGTGGTCACCAGCTGCTCACAGTCTGTAAAACCCTCCACGTAGAACCAGTAAGTATGAGCAACAGGTCCTCCTGAGAGGATGGCCTGTAAAGCACCCCTCTTAGATGCTTACCTGCGCCTTTCCTCGCCAGTGATTCTTCTAAGTGGCTCATGGGACCTTTACCTTTACTTTACGCGGTTTGGGTTTGGGAGTGTCCCTGTTTGGAATGGCCACTTGTGTCCTCAGAAAGCCCTGTCTGCGTGTCTCCCATTTGTCCCTCAGTACTGACTCTCATCTTTCTCTCTCGTTCTCCATGTGCCACTGCCCCCCCCCTGCTCTGTCCCCCTGCCTGTCCTCTGGGCACTTGGGCCGCAGCCTCCCCTCCCATGCCCGCTCCCCCTGTTGCAGAACAAGAGCGCAAAAGGCAGCCTCAGCACAGAGCAGTCGGAGCGGGGCTGAGGGGCCGTGGCTCGCAGGAACGAGAGTCCAGCAAGCACAGGTGAGTGGGCGCCCAGTAGGCCAGCCATGCACGTGGCCTGAGCCCAGACACCTATAGGGGTGCCACAGAGCTGCCCCCTGCCCCCTGTCCTGCCTCCCCCCTCCAGCCACAGCCTGGGCTCCCTCAGCTTGGGTCTTCACTCTGTTCTAGTCTTTTCCATCTACTCTGTGCCTTCAAAGCTCACTGTGGCTCGTGGCTCAAGACTGGGTACTTGCATTCCGTCTTCAGTACTCTGGAGGGGCTCTTCCTTCAGACAAGGGCGAAGGGAGCCCTGCAGAGACTTCTCCAGTGTTGGCGTCTGCTTTGCCTGCTCTCTGGAGCCTGGATCTTTCGGTGTTCTGTGTGTGACGACTGGTCTGGGCAACGTGGTGTGCCCATGGAGACAGGGTGATAGATAGGTCCCCCCCATGCCACACATGACGGGGGTGGGGGGGGGCGGGTATGAAAACCGGAGATAGGGCACTTGCTTTATTGCATGTGGACAGAAGAGTGGCTTCAGACATGTTCCTTTCAGGGTCCTTTCTGTTGACTCGCCCTCTGGGCCCCCACCAGGTGCAGCCCTGCCCCTCTGCAGTCCCGTTGTACCTGGAGCAGGGTCCCCGTTGTCCTCTGAAACACCTAGCAGATTTGTGCGGCACAGTCATTTGAGGGGAAAACATCACAGGCCTTAGAATGTGCTTTATTCCCTCAGCCGAAGGGCTGTGACTCGCAGAGGGAGGGCTCTGTCTGCATGGACCCGCATCTGGGGGGTCCAGACATCCTGGTCTCTGCCTTTAGTTAGCTTTTGTGAGCTGCCTTTAGCTCATTTTAGTTGGAGGGGAGGGCCATCAGTAGGCTGTCCTCACTCCTCCCCTCCCCTCCCAGGGTGGGGTGTGGTGGTACTTGCTCAGTGGTAGCTGTGCCCTACTCGTCAGGCCTTAGGGCAAGGGAGTAATCCTGATGAGGAAGCTTTCTCCTGCCCTCCTCCTCCGTCCCAGCCTGCTCTGGGCAGGCTGTGCAGCTGGGTTTATGATGACATTCTAGAGAGAACCTAGGACAAATCCCTAGGGACCTACCTGGGGAAAAAGCCAAGGCTATTGTTGTTTGGTGCTTCCCATTGCCCCATGAATGCATCCTGCTGAGGTCGTGGTCCTGTGGGCTCATCCTGACAGAGCCAGATCACGACTGCTGAGTTCACAAGCAGAGCAGGAGCATCAGCCCCAGGGTAGTGTCAGGTCTGTGGACACTGGTCCCTCTCTCAGAGTCTCTGCCCACTCTTGTCCGTCTGAGAGTCTGTTCTCTCTCCGGCATCTCTGGCTCTCAGCATGGGTAGGCTGTGGTGAAGCAGGCGCCTCCCTTGGGCCCAGGGTTTGCTGAAGCTCCGTGATCCCCACCCTTCCCATGATGGGTGCTACCTCCTCAGAGGGGCCTTCCCCTCACAGCCTCAGTCTCTCCGTCACAGGGCCGTCCCCTTCACAGCCCCTGCTTGCCTGAGGGCCCTTTGTGTGGTCTGCTGCTACCACAGTATTGAGCCCCATGGGGACCGGGCACGCTGTCTTTCCCGGTGCATACCCAGCAGAGCGTGGTACTAGGGGTGCAGAGATTCTTCATTTACACTGTGTGCTCCTTGATGAGGGCAGATTCTGAATTAGCCCTCAGCTCCCTCCCCAACAATGAGAACTGCTCAAGCCAGGTCTCCCCAGGGCCAGGCCAGCAGTGGTAAAGCTGGCGGGGGTGGGGTGGGGGGAGGTGCCATTGGAAAGCTTTGGAAGAAGAATGCTGGAACTCCACCCTCAGCCATGCAGGCCATGGCCCCTAGCCTCACCACCAGGTCCCTACAGGTGGACAGGGTCTACAGCGGCGAGGCTGTGAGACACCAGGGCCCAGTTCCAACTCGGAACAGCCCTTTTCCTCTGACCACCTGTCTCCCCTTCCGAGAGCTTCAGGGTCTCTTGGTGGGCTCATGGAGCTCTGTGTGCTGGGAGCTGTGCCCGGCCGCCCAGGTGCAGAAAGTGGTTCTCCCTTCTGAGAGGTCTGTCCAGTGATTCCTGGAGAAGTCTGGTGGACCAGGAGGGTCTGAATTCAGTTCTGCACATGGCCTGCCCTCCAACAGAGCACGCAGGCCGCAGGGCCCTTAGTGTGAAGGTCTCTTCCTCACGCTGTGGGGTGTCTTCTGCAGAGCATCAGTTCGCTGGGCTCCAGAGCAGAGCAGAGCCCAGCCAGGACCACCATCTCTCCTGGTCTCCGTGCCTTTTACTATCCCCAGGACAAGCACCCCAGGAGCTGACCCCGTGGCGGGCCTGTCTCTTGTCTTCCAGGTGAGACTGTGGAGGTGAGAGGTGGTGGACCCTCGATGGGATGGAGACCTCACTGGCCTGCGCAGCCACCCCACCCCCACCCCATGTGCCTGCCCGCCAGCACTTCCTCCTCAGCTCTGCATCACACTCACTGGGACACCCAGAAAGAGACTCAAGAAGTTGGAATGGCTGTTTCCATGGACACAATCTCCATAGTGACAATTGGGGGGAGGGGGGAGGGGAGGGGTGAAGGGAGAAGGGTGGGGGGACTGAGAGGGAGGGATAAAAATATATATATATAAATCTATTTTTAGTCTGGAAAGACTTTGTTTAAATGAAAGGTGCGCTATCCCTTTTGATTCTATTTTAAACTCATCTAGTGGAAGAACTCCAAGTGTGTTCCAGCAACAATGAGATTCCAACTCGAAACTGAACTGAGCAAACTCATCTCACGCAGACAGCTCTAGGCCTCTCCCGCCTCGGAGGGCCTGGGGGACAGGCCAGCCACACCAACCCACCCTGTGTCGCTCACCCATTGTCTCCAAGTGGGGAGGTGTGGGGGGAGGGGAGTGGGGAAGATCCATGTTTTCAAGAGTGGGGGAGTGATGTTTAAACACAAATAAATTTTTTCATTTCCAGAAACACTATTTATAATTGTTTTTAAAGTTTTAAATATTTTTGTTTTTATCTTCCTTTTCTGGGTTAATCAGTAGATAATCTGAGGCCCAGTCGGGGCCTGAACCAGGGCTGGTGCAAGTTGCAGGCAGGGTCGAGGGCTGACTGCCTTGGTCTCCGGTGTCCAGCCCACTCCAGCCCTGCCCCACCTTTGGGAACTGGTGGAAGACCAGGCCTTGGCTGCAGGACAAGGGGCATTAGCCCTGGGTGGCCCACAAACACAAGTTACCTGTTTGCTTTTTGCTTCATTTTTATAAAGGAAACGGGAGCTTTCCCACTGAGCAGCCCTGCCAGTGGTTCTGTTGTGTTGTGTTGTTTCGTGGATTGTATACTTTTTAATAGTTGGGTTTTAAAAAAAGAACAAAAAAATCTTGTTAAGGCCTTAAGAAGTTAGTGCATCTTTCAGGTCAGTCTGCCGTGGAGATAAAACAGCTGTTTCACACATAGGTTTATTTAAAAAAAAAAAAAAACCGCTAAAAAATAATAAACTTCATTTTAACCTTGTTTCTCTTTTTTCAATTTTTATTTTTTTAATTTTTTAATACAAGCCGTTTCTCTTCCTCCCCTGGCACACTCTGGAGAGGCTGCTTTCTGGGCTGCCCAGACCCCAGCTGCTGCTCTCTGCTGCCAGCCTGGAGGGTGGGAGTCCAGGCCAGGGCTGGTCAGAGTTCCGTACTGTGGACACATTTCCAGTAGACATTCATCTTCACAGTTATTTTAAAATTCAATGTAACTTGACACTTGATTGAACAGAAACACTAGACATGATGTTAAGAAGTAGAACTAGGACTCTAAAGGGCTCTTAGACTCACCTCCGTTTGAGGATACATAAGAGGCAGGTTGGTTTTGTTGCAATGGTTGTATCATTTCACATTCCACTAGACCGGGACGTGGTTGGCGCTGAGGGGGCCTTGGCAGCAAGGGCAGGCAGTCAGACTGGACCTTAGGGATGTGGCTTCCCGAGCTACTCAGATCCAATTCCAGTCTCAGGTCCATGTCCAGCCTTGATGTGGCATTATCAAGGACAAAATCAAGTTCAAGCATCAATTTGGAGCCCAAAATTTTAAAGACGGCTATTTTGAGGAAGATGTTTTCCTGTTGGCAGATGCTTCCTGTTGGGCATTTTCTCCTTGCATGCAGGTGAACTGGGGGGGGGGGGGCAGCCGGGGGGACCACCCTAGGGCTCCCAGGAGCATTCTGCAATGAACTCTACCCAGTGCTCTCTGGTCCCAGCAGGGAGTCTCTGTTGCCTGAGGCCTGTTCTCCCACAGCCCAAGTACCAGCACTCTGGGGCCAGTGCTGCACTGGGCAGATTGGGACACGGTGATTATAGCCCCAAAGTGGCGGATGAGTGGACAGCAGTCTGGGTGGGGAGGTGGGACTCTTGGCCCTCTTGGGTCCCTGCATAGAAGCTCCGGTTGCATTGTGATGGGCTTAGTGAGCTGCCCTTGTTACAGGGGCCACCCGAGGGCCTGGAGACACCAGGCATCAGAGGTGGCTGTGCTTCTAGAGGGTGGGGCAGGGTGACAACAGGTAAATCAGAAGGTATCAAAGACCACCATGTTCCAGGTCCTGTGACAGACACCCGTCCTGCAGGCTACCCCACACCATGTAGTTGAGCTGAGGCCTGGCCTGTCAAGTGGCCTCAATCTGGGAGCCCAGGAACCCCTGTTCTCCACAGTCCAGGGGTGACAGCAGCTGGAGTCCATACCTCAATGAGGCCTTCACACCAAACCCTGTGCCAACCTTGGTCAGTGCCCCCACAGGAGCTGGCTTTGCATGGCCTGTCACTCATCTGGGAACAGGTGCCCCGTGGCACTGTCTCCCCCCAAGGTCCAGCCGGGCACCAGTGAGGGGAGATGCAGGGAAAACCTACACTGCTGTCACAAACTGAGCAACAGTCTAAGCCACACTGGCCCCCAGGGTCTCTGCTGAGTCCAAAGGGCATGGTCAGAGGAAACCTCTCCTCCCCTTCCTCTCTGGGCAGTGGGGAGCCTTAGCCTGGGAGAGCCCCTCCAGGATGCTGGAGCACTACCCTGTGTCCATAAGGAGAGCTTGCCTCCCACTCCCAGGGCTGGGCAAGGAGCCTGAGGGGGAGAGTCCTGCCCAGACCCTCCCCGCCCTCAACTCCCAAAAGGCTGCTTCTCTGATGCCCGGGCTCCTGCATCCCCACATTTATGTGGGTTTCAATCAGCTTAATCCACTTAACACCTTAATCCCACACCTGTACCTGTTGAAGGAGGGACTGAGGCCCTGGCCTGGCCAGTGTGGACACTCCCTGTTAGAAGGGAGGGTGTGGGAGGAGGAGCCTGGCAGCCATAGCACCAGCTGCAAAGCCAGCAGGGAGTGGCATCAAGGCTAGTAGCTGTCCTGGGAGGCTGGGGTCCACAAAAGGATACCAGAAACAGATTTGGGAGGGAGAAGTTGGGCAGCTGGCCCAGCAGGACTGGAGGCCCACCCACCATTGAGGCCTGAGAGGGCTGGCTTTGTGGCCTCAGCTGGACATGGTGGGGGTGGGATAGGAGGAGGCGTCGTCACCCCACTGGAATGCTATCCTTTTTGTCTCCTGGAAGACTGAGCAGCTCCAGGAAGGGATGGGGCGGAGAGGGAGCAGGCCCCCTCAGAGGGCAGGTTCCTTTCTGCTCTGAGCCGCCCTGGTGCTGAGCTTCCAGATGGCTGTCAGAAAGGAAAGGGCGTGTCCACCCCTCTGACTACAGTAGTAGTTAGAGTGCAGGTTACTATGTGTGTGTGGGGGGGGGGGGGGCGCTGTTGCAGGGATGTGTGCTCCTGTGGGAGTCGTTGGTGTTCAGTGTATGTTCCCAGGCAAGTGACAGTGACAAACCTGGAGAGTAAAGGCCACTCTAGGAGGTGGCAAGTGAGGGGTGGGAAAGTTGAGGTCTGTCTGCCCTGCGGACCTGGTTGTATACTCTTAGCATGTGGTAAAAGCCCTGGAGGAGGAATGTTGAAGGAGGGGTGGGGGTGCTTCTACCTCTCCTAATCCCAGATGTCAGTGGAATCTCCCAAGCCCCGCCCCTGGGGAGGCGGGTCTGCTCTGCCCCAAACTTCACATACTGGTTCTTCCCTCCCAGCCTTGGGCAGAGAGGACCTTGGACTTGAGTGCAAAAGCACGTTGGCTGAGGGTGGAAGGCAAAGGCCAGTCCTCTTTCCCTTATAAGCCAGAGCTGGGCTGAGGAAGCTGGTTTGGTCCGAGGGTGCCAGATGTGCACAGGATTGCCCAGAGTCGACTTGTGAAAGCTGCTTCCCAGCCAGGGAGACAGGCAGCCATGGGGCTGCTGACCGGGGAGGGCTTGGCGCCCCTGGCCGTGGCCATGGCCGTTTTCCTGCTCCTGGTGGACCTGATGTACCGGCGCGTACACTGGGCTGCTCGCTACCCGCCAGGGCCTCTGCCACTGCCCGTGCTGGGGAACATGCTGCAGCTGAACTTCAAGGACTTGCCACACAGCATGAGCCAGGTGAGGCCGGTGGGGTGGGACACAGGAGGTCTGGACATCCTCCCAGTACTGGACAGTGGGTGGTAGGTGAAACCATAGGCAGAACAAAGGGCTCAGCCAGAACACAACAGGTTAATCCTGGGGGCGGGGTTGGAGCTGGGTGAGGAGGTCCTATTGGATTTTCAAAAAACAGCACAAAAGCTCCAGAAAGGGGTGTGGGGCAGGCAGCAGGCCAGATTATGCAAGACCAAATCTCCTGAGCCAAGAGAAAGGGCCTTGGGAATGGGGGTGGGGGCTGGGCACTGAGCGCCATGAAATCAAGATTTAGAGAGGGCAGAGGTGAAAGACCTTGTTCCCATCTTTTCCTGGGACCTTGGGCCAGAATGTCCACTTCCCCAAGCCTTAGTTCCGCTGCCTCCGCTCACAGGCCACTGGGGTAAACTAACATCACAAGTAGGCGGTGGAATCCAGGTGAAGTCCTGGACCCACAGAAAGAATTGCCCCGAGGTCAGAAGCCCGCCTTTCGTCCTTGACCCGCTGCTAAGGGCCCATCTGGCCTGACAAGAGTTGGTTGTGCAGTGAAAATGGCTTTCTCCGTGGTGGGGTCCCGATCTGACGGCCGCATGGCCTCGGCCTGCAGCTGCGGCGCCGCTTCGGGGACGTGTTCAGCCTGCAGATGTGCTGGACGCCAGTGGTCGTGGTCAACGGGCTGGCGGCCGTGCGCGAGGCGCTGGTGCTCCGCGGCGAGGACACAGCCGACCGCCCACCCATGCCAGTCTACAAGCACATTGGCTTCGGGCCACAAGCCCAAGGCAAGTGACTGCGGGGTCGGGGACCAAGTGCAGTAGGGGACTGGGCTGGCAGTGACCCAGCCAAGAGCCAGGAAAGGCTGGAGGCGGGGCCTGTCCAGGGCCAGAGAAGGAATGGGGTATAGTCCCTCCTGACAGGGAGGGGATGTAGAGGAGGCGGACTCTGTCCAGGGCTGGACAGAGGGTAGGGCGGAGTCTCTCCTGGGTGAGGGCGTGGCAGAGGCGGGGTCTGTCCTGCAGAGAAAACAATCTGAGCCCACAGACTAAGGACAGGGCGGGGTCTGCACCACTGGGCCCAGTAAGAGCAGGGAACCTTGATCACTGAGCAGGCGGGAGAGGGGCCTGACTTGGGCATTGGGGGCTGGTGAGAATGAGGTCTGTCTGGGGCAGCGGGGCAGGAGGGAGCCCGGAGCAGAGCAGGACATGCTTCCTGGCCCCGCCCACGAGCCCGTGCCCCCGCAGGTGTGATCTTGGCGCGCTATGGGCCCGCGTGGCGGGAGCAGCGGCGCTTCTCACTGTCCACGCTGCGCAACTTCGGCCTGGGCAAGAAGTCGCTGGAGCAGTGGGTGACCGAGGAGGCCGACTGCCTCTGCGCCGCCTTCGCCGCCCAGGACGGTGAGAGCTGGGCAGCAGGAGCTGAGGGCGCCCGGTGGACGACCGGCCGGCCGTGGGGCGCCTGTGAACCACCCCCTCTTTCCAGGATGCCCCTTCAGCCCCAACACCCTCCTGAACAAAGCTGTGAGCAATGTCATCGCCTCCCTCACCCACGGGCGCCGCTTTGAATATGACGACCCCACCTTCCTCAAGCTCCTGGCCACGGTGGAGCAGGGCCTGAAGGAGGACTCCACCTTCCTCCGAGAGGTACAGGAGGGACAGGGGACAGGGAGGGGCGGGCAGGCAGGCAGGGCAGCCTCCAGGAGAGTCCTGGTCCCCTGATGGAGCATAGGTAAGACCCAAACCCCTGGTGTATCCGCCAGCTGCTGAACACGTGCCCCATACTCCTGCGAATCCCCGGACTGGCCAGCAAGGTCTTTTCGGGGCTGAGGGCCTTTATGGACCTGCTGGATGGGCTGGTGACTGAGCACCGGGAGAGTCGAGAGCCAGGCCAGCCGCCCCGAGACCTGACCGATGCCTTCCTAGACCAAGTGGACAAGGTGCAGGCAGCAGCCAGGGGCTGGGAGTGGGGCTTGCGCACCGCCCCTCCAGTGAAGCAGGGACTCCACCAGGGTGGGGCTGTCTGGACCTCCCCTCTCTTCCCTCTCCCCCTTCTAACTCTTCTGTGCTCCGCCCAGGACCAGGGAAAGCCCGAGAGCAGCTTCACTGATGAGAACCTGCGTATGGTGGTCGCGGACCTGTTCTCTGCCGGGATGGTGACCACCTCCACCACGCTGGCCTGGGCGCTCCTCCTCATGATCCTGCACCCAGACGTGCAGCGTGAGAACCGGGCAGGGCGGTGCAGGTGGACAGGCTGTTACCCCCACTCCCCCCAACCCCCCAGGTCCATTTGTACAGCAGGCTCAGTGGTACGGCAGAGCTGGGGCCTGGCTGCCGTCACCGGGGCAAGTGGACACATGGCTACAGAGGACGTTCTCTTTGAGGGCAGAGGAGTAGGCAGGGCCCTGTGTTCTTGCTCACTCGGGGACTCGTCTGCCAGGTCGTGTCCAGCAGGAGATCGACGAGGTGATAGGGCAGGGGCGGAGACCTGAGCTGGGGGACCAGACCCGCATGCCCTACACCACAGCCGTGGTGCACGAGGTGCAACGCTTTGGAGACATAGTGCCACTAAACCTGCCTCACATGACGACGTGCGACACTGAAGTGCAGGGCTTTATCATCCCCAAGGTAGGGCTTCAACCCCCTCAACCGGGACTCAGGGCCACTGCCAGCTCACAGCCCCTGCAAGGCCTTGGCCAGGGGATACTGTAAGGTGCTAGGCTGTCTGTCCATCCATCCTGTGTGTCCAGCCGGCTGGTCCTGGGGTTTAGTCCCACGCTGCAGGAGACATTGCACCTGCCGTGGGAGACTCATCCCCTGATCTGTGGTGGGAGCAGGAGGGTTATCAGGAACTTTCCTTGGGTGGGTTCAGGGTGTGCCAGGAGGGGAGTGTGTCTGTGTGTACAGCAGTGGCTGGGACCACAGCATCCCCTGCCCAGGCCCCCAGCCACACCAGTGTCTCCTGAACAGGGGACGATGCTTTTCCTGAACCTGTCATCGGTGCTGAAGGACGAGAGCTTCTGGGAGAAGCCCTTCCGCTTCCACCCGGAGCACTTCCTGGACGCGCAGGGCCGCTACGTGAAGCAGGAGGCCTTCATGCCTTTCTCAGCAGGTGCCTTGGGGCCAGGTCCACGAGCTGTGCCGAGGGATGGGATGGGGACCCAGCCCCCAGACTTGCTGAGACCCTGTGCCTATCCACCCCCACCAGGCCGCCGCACCTGCCTCGGGGAGCCCCTGGCGCGGATGGAGCTCTTCCTCTTCTTCACCCGCCTCCTGCAGCGCTTCAGCTTCTCGGTGCCCCCCGGACAACCGCTGCCCAGCGACCACGGTGTCTATGCCTTCCTGGTGTCCCCAGCCCCCTTCCAGCTCTGTGCTGTGCCCCGCTAGAGGCCCCGAGGCCTGGCCTCTCCCCAGCCTCACCCTGACAATAAAGCTGCTTTCTCCTGACATCTGGTCCCCCACCACATCCCAGGCCAGCCCCTGCATGACTGGGCCTCAGAAGACAGCAGGTCAGTCCCTCTGCCCATTTGAGAGGGTATACTGAGGTTCAGAAAGCAACAGCCTGCCCTACCTTCCTTCCCATTCCTCATCAACGCCCACCGCTGTCTTCTTGGTCTGGTGACAAAGGCGGTGCAGAGGCTCCGCTTCTGGGCTGTCGTGTGGGGTGAGACTGGGGTGCTGGACCACTCCATCTGCCTCCTCACTTCAGTGTTCCTCTAAAGGGTGGGGAAACGGAGGGCCGGGTAGTGGGGTGCCAGGGTGTTAACGGAGCCACACCTGGGCTGTGGGTGTCATTGCTCTCTCTATGAAGGCGGGGGGGGGGGCGCAGTTCAGGAGTGAGCTACCTCCCAGAGCCTCGCAGCCTCCCTAAGGTTGGACTGTACCCACCTGGCCCAATGATGATGCCTACAACCAGACCAAGCCTGAGCCAGAGCCAAACTGCCAGTGCAGGGTACCCCCTCTGCCAGCCCCACCCTGCCCTGGGCTTGTGCTCCCCCTTTGGCCCAAGAGAGTTGTCCCCCAAGTTCCACTTCCCTCTCTAGAATGTGCTGGCCTGTCACCCCCACCATGCACAGGAGCTGCCGCCCCCTCCTCCCACCTCTGTCCCAACCTGACAAGAGCTGGCTCTGGACGGGCACACTGGCAGCACCCAAGTTTCTATGACACCTGTCTGGTTACCTGAGTCTCGGGCATACCCTGACACTAGGGTGACAGCTGGATCAGGGACCTCAGACACCCCAGAGGATCCTCCCTGTGAGGCATGACATAGAGTCCCCACCCCGCAGCTCCACGGGGAACTAGATCTGTCCCTGAACCTTGAGTCAGAAGCCCAGCCAAGGTCCCTCCGCAGTAGCCCCCTGTCCAGGCAGGGAGGTGGTGCCCCATGACCTGTCGCGTGTGTGGGTGTGGCAGAGCGGGTTTGAGAAGACGTGCCCGGACAGGAGGCGCTGGGCCTGCTGCAACAGCAACCCATGGAGTTTATTGGGCACAGTGTTACCTGTGGTTCTGACGCTGGAGGCAGGGAACCAGGCCAGGCCAAGCCGCCTCAGGACGGGGCCCCACCTCCTGCACCTTTCACCTTGTCCTCCATCCACTCTAGAGGCCTCTAAGGTGAAAAAAAAAAAAAAGTGCCCTGTGGTCCCTAGCTGGAAGGAACCTTTCCTAGGACGTGGGACTCCACCCATGTCCAAACTCACTGCCATGGTGTCAATGCCAACTCTTAGCAACCCGGTAGGACAGTGTGGAACTGCCTTGTGGGTTTCCAAGACTGTCACTGTAAGGGGGCAGAAAGCCCCACCTCTGATAGAATGGCAGGTCTGCGCCCAGCACAAGGGGAATGGCCCTGCAGTCTCCCAAACCAGTGTGGAAGCAGGAGGGTGGGTTCGCTGGCAGGTAGGGGAGGAAGCCTGTGTGTGCAGCATGGTGATAAGAGTTGTCACCTTACCAGAGGGGCTGACAGCAGCCTGGTTTGGGACCTTTTTCATTTCCTGGGGAGCAGGAAGGAGCAGGGGTACAGCCAGCTTGCTGCCCGCATCTTCAAGCCTATCCCTAAAGGGCAGGCCACCCCTCCCTCCCAGTCCCAAGGAAGCCTGTGTGTGCAGCATGGTGATAGAGTTGTCACCTTACCAGAGGGGCTGACAGCAGCCTGGTTTGGGACCCTCCCTCCCAATCAGGGCTCCGGACCACCACCTGCTCTCTTCTTAAGCCTAAGCTAGTGGGCTCCCTTCCCCGAGCCTTCACCACCCCCACTGCTGAGGGGAGGGTCAGCCTCCCTGTAGCCTGGGGGCCACACACTGTGTGTGTGTGTGTGTGTGTGTGTGTGTGTGTGTGTGTGTGTGTGTTTTGCGGGGAGGGAGAGTATTGTGGTGAGGGGGAACTGATGGGTAAGAAAGCAGTGACCACACACAGAAAGGCCCTCAGAAAACCTCCTCCTCACCCTGCTCTTCACTCCTGTTTCCAGAAAGCCCTTCCCCCTCCCTCCAGCTCGGGCAGGGTGGGGGGTTCCCTGGGGGAGGCCTGAGCTTGGAGTCCTGGGTCTGCAGGAGTCCTGAGGAGGCAGCCAGGCCCCAGGCCCTTGCTGTCAGGACTCACTCACCTCTCACCCCTGCTGCCTCCCACTCTGGGGAACAAGGACAAGTGACACCAGCTAAGGTGACTGGAGGACATTCCCTGACCACTGTTCCTTTGACAGCAGCGCCCCCTAGCGGGACAGCCTCCCCACTGCCAAGAAGAGGAGTCCCAGCCCTCATTCACCTGACTGGTCCCGGGGTAGCATTTCTCCATCATCACTCCCCACCCCACGGGTCTTGGGGTGTCTCCTATGGGCTGCACTACTGGGAGGCTGAGGGGAGGTCTCCCTGCTCAGTCCACTGTCAGGCACTTCTGCGTACATACTACCTGGTGTCTACAGAAAACTTCTAAAGCAGTCCCTGAGAAAGTAAACGATGGGGCAGTGGGGCTAGGTACCATGGAGTCGGTTCTGGGATCAACAATAGGATCCAGCCTGCCGGGAACAGACAGATCTGTCTGGAAAGAAGTACAATGGCAATGGTTTCTAGAAGAAAGGCTGGAGAGACTTCATCTCACATACTTTGGCATGCTCTCTGTCAGGAGAGGCCCGTGTCTGCACAAGGACATCACCTTTGGTAAAGGAAAGGGTCAGCAGACACGAGGACGATGAGCATCGATGAGATGGATTACCACAATGTCGGCCACCAGGAGCTCAAACAATTGTACTTTCAGGATGGATTCGTTTGTTCTCCTAGCAGTCTGTGATTCTTTCAGTGCCCTTCACGAACCCCATCACGCAATGCATCGATTCCCCTGTGGCCTTCCATAGTCACACTGAATACGAGGCAAATGAAAACAGTAGGCTGGGGTCAGACACACCTTAGTCCTTAAAGTGACACCTTTCCACTTTAAAGTAGTCGTGGGTCACAAGGAAGGGACGAGTCAGCCCGGCTGCAGTAACACCAACAAAACACACAACATTCCCTAGTTCTTTAATGCTTTCTCACCCCCACTATCATGATCCCAGTTCTACCTCACAAATCCAGCTAGACCAGAGCATGTGCCCGGGTACAGATAAAGAGATCTCGACAAGGAATCCAGGACAGATAAACCCCTTCAGGTACAGTAATGGCAGCAGCGATACCATGAGGATAGGGGGAGAAGTGTGGAACCAATCACAATGATTGACATATAGCCCAACCCCAGGGGGACAAACAACAGAAACATGGGTGAAGGGAGACAGCGGATGTTGTAAGATATGAAAATAATTTATAATTTAAAAAAGGGGTTACGTCGGGGGAAGGGAGGGGAAAAAGAGCTGATACCAAGGGCTTAAGTTGAAAGAAAATGTTTTGAAAAGGATGATGGCAACCTATGTACAAATGTGCTTGATTCAATGGATGTATGGATTGTTGTAAGAGCGGTCAGAGCCCCCAATAAAATGATTTCTAAACAGTAAATAAAGTAGTCCTGGGCAGATTTGCTCATGCAAGACATTGTTTTCTCTTGCCTGCTGCTGCCATGACACTGACTGGATCATGATGGTGTGTAGTATTAAATTAAAATGGCGCGGTGAGGGGTGAGGGGACAGCCCCCATCCGCTGCTACTACTACTAATACTACCCACAGGTTCAGTAATGCACAATTGTACGGTTGAGATATATAAAGTCATCAAGAGCATGAGAGATATTACAATGATGCAGTCAGACACATTACATGGTAGCATAGCTCACCTCAGCCCAGCTTGGTGGTCCACGTGGAGAGAGGGGGAAGGGAAGGAGGGCAAGGGAGAAAGGACGAAAGAAGAGAGGGATCAGAGAGAGTCAGAGATCAGAGAGCACTCTTGCTGACCCATGCCTATATACCTTTTGGGGGCATGCCAGCCCACTAATTACAGGCAGAGACATATGTCCCAGGGAGGGGCTGCACTATAGGTTACACAACAATGAGGGGGGTGGTCTCTGGGTCTCCATAGGAACCATTATCAGTAGGGTGAAAACTCCGCCTACAGGAGCCTGGTCCATTGTCTCCAGAGGCAGGGAGCAGACCCACCCTTGTGGGATGAGACAGCTACCTGGCAACTGATTGCCCTCAGTGGGGGGAATGCCTGTGCATCTGACCTCCCCCCACAATGGTGTCCAGTGGTCACTTGGGAGGCACACCTGATTCTTCTTTTTATCATTCCGTGTTTTCAAGTCCTTCGCTTTTAACAAGTAAGGTCGTGTCATCTGCTTATCTCAGGTTGTCAGCGAGCACTCCTCTAATCTTAATACTTCCTCCTTCGTACCCTCCAGTTTCCCGGATTATTTGCTCAGCATACAAACGGAACAACTGTGGGCAAAGAGTACAACCCTGACTCGCACCTTTCCTGCTTTTACACGGCGCTGTATTCGAACAAGTGCCTCTTGGATGCACAGGGAAGGGTTCTGGAATTCCCATTCAACTCAAGACTATCCATAGTTTGTTGTGATCACACAGTCAACAAGTCAACATCTTTCTGGTACTCTGCTTTCAGCCAAGAGTCATTTGATGTCATTAATGATATTCCTTATTCCACCTCCTCTTCCGCTGAACCGTTATCTTCAGCAAAATTTTACATGCATGTATTGTTTGATGATTTCTACATTCTGCTGGGTCACCTCTCTGAGATGAGCACAAACATGCCTCTCTTCCAGAGCTGCCTGGGCTGTTGGCCATTTTCACTGGTGTTCTGTCGATTCCTGGATCCTTGTTCTTGACCAATGCTGTCAGTGCAGCTTGGACTTTTCCTCAATACCATTAGTTCTTGATCATATGCAACTCCTTAAAATGGTTGAATGCCCCCCCCCCCATTTTTTTTAACTTTGTATATTCCTTCCTTTTTTCTTTTTTTGGATATTTGCTGCATCATTTACTATTTTGTGCATAGCATCTTTCAAGATTGCAACTTTACTTTT